CACACACACACACACACACACACACACACACACACACACACACACACACACACACACACACACACACACACGTTTTTACAGATGAACAGGAGTTTAAACACATGGAACCCAGATGTTGAGCGTCACAGAGAGACGGCGCCACCTTCAGGGAACGTCATGATTTTATCGTGTATGTCAGCGGCGACGGCGGCCTCCTCCACCTCCTGGTCAGTGGCGGTGTTGCGACCGTAGCGAATGTTTTCCCTGATGATGTCGTTGAAGAGGACGGTATCCTGGGGAACCACGCCGATGTGAGCGCGCAGAGATGCTTGCTTCACCTGCATGGCGACGGCATGAGTGTTAGCGAAACATTTCACAAACCCATGAACTGCTAACTGTCGGTTCCTAGACCTACCTCTGAGATGTCCTGGCCATCGATGCGAATGCAGCCCCCCTGAACGTCGTAGAAGCGGAACAGCAGTCGAATGATGGTGCTCTTCCCAGAACCAGATGGCCCAACCTTTCGAAAGGAACAGAAAATAAAACCAGAGACGACACAAGCTGATTACAGGAGTGACGAGAAGCTGAATCTCTTGGTTTAAAAGTGGTCGTACCAGTGCAACTGTTTGTCCCGGAAGAACAGTGAAGGAAACGTCCCTGAGGATCTCTTTGCTTTAAAACACAAGATGATGTGAGATTCAGTTCCATTACATACAAACTAACTGTTGCATCAAAATCACTGAAGGCAAACGTGAACGAACCCATTTGTGTAGCTGAAGCAGACGTTCTCAAATTCTATTTTTCCCTGTCTGAACAGCAGATTTCCTGCATTTACTTTATCCTTCACCTGCAAAATAATGAAAAATAAAACATTACATATCCGCACACAGGCAACATGAAAACACACTTTAGCTTCAAACGCACCTCTTCCTCCTCCTCAAACAGCTGGAACATGTTCTCCATGTCAATGAAGGAATTTTGGATCATTCTGCAGAAACAAACAAACAAACAAACAAACAAACAAACAAACAATTAGACCAAATCAGAGTTAAGCACATAATTAGCTGGTCAGATTTAAAGTCTCTTCTCTCACCTGTAATATGTTCCAAACCAGTTCAGAGGGGTGTAGAGTTGGATGATATAAGTGCCAAAGAGAACAAAGTCTCCAACCTGAGATCAGAGGTTTGTCTTTTGATGGTAATGTTTCAGGACATGAAATCAAAATGTTTTGAATTGGGATGGTGTCGGTACCTGAAACTTTCCCTCTGTGACGAAGTAGGCACAGAGCAGGGAGCCGGCCAGCAGACCCGAGCCGATGACCACGTTCTGGGTTTGGTTGAGTAAAGCCAGGGAAGCCTGAGTTTTCCACTCCGAGGACTGGACCAGAAGACAAGAAACATGAAGATACGAGTCAAACGCTCCCTTCATCGGTCACTAAATGTTCCCTCTACCTCTTTGGACCCTCTTCCACCTCCTCCCTACCCTCACTACAGCTCACTGTAGACATGTTTCCATCCAGTTGTAACGCAAATTTTGAGCAAACTTTTAAAATRTACAAAAGAAATGCAAATTAGACACGTTTCCATCTATTGGTTTAGAGTAAATCAACCAGGCTACGCAAAGTGTAATTACATCAGATGTTGGTGTTACACATGAATGTAATAAACAGGAAGCAGAGGTCAAACTAGCAGGGATACACAACTCAGGACAATGGAGAGTTTTCAGGAACGTGTTGCTATTGGACAAGCTGTAATTAATCTGTCATATCATYTATTGGTGATGTTACCTGTTGTGCATGTACTTGTCATCATATAGCAACTAGATCTTGTCATAAGAAACTGAATTTTTTTTTCAGAAAATGACGGTGAGAGCTGAAAGACTGCTAACATTTGCTGAAGAAGCTGAAACTGAGTTAAAGCAAAAGCAGTAAAATGGCAGCAAAGTGCAATGAAAGAATAGCCAAAGGCTAAAAGTAGTAACAACAGGTAGCATAAGGCTAGCTAGAAGCTAAAAGTAAAAAGCAAACCTAGTTAAAATTAAACCAAAGACTAGCTTGAATCTAAAAGCAGCCAAAGACAAAACAGTATGCTGAAGCAGAGCTCTTAAGAGACAATGTTTTAGAGAGATTGAGATCTCAATGCATTACTATTAAATATTTGTAAACGAAGTTAAATATTTTAAAAAGTATAAAATTACACAAAAGTCATAGAACCTATCTCCTGAATGAGCCAAACACTTTTAATGGTTAAAACAGCAGAAGTTAGCCTGCAAAAGATGCACAATAATATAAAAAGGAGGAAAACCGTACGAATGCTGAATCAGCATCTGTCATCACAGAAATGCTGACTCACTTCCACACAGCTTTGTGTAAAGTTTACCACAAAGTAAAGGAAACAATCTGAGCCTAAAGATAAAYACATCCCTCTGATTTACCTGATACTTCAAGATGGCGTCCTCAAAACGTCCGACCTCATAAACCTCTGCGTTGTAGTACTTTACCTGTTAGAGAGGAAATAAAGGAAGACTTATGTTTTTAAGTAGACCTTCTAGAAATACCAGTGTTTCCCCTAGGAAATTGGTCTTGGTGTGGGGTGGGTGGGGGCTGCTACTTGTTTTATGAAAACATAAATTTACGCGACTCTCCTTCTATTTTGTACAACAAAAATATTAACATGGTTGTCAGTCAATTCCATTAACAAAAACATCTTCAGTAAACTTTTTTAKACATTTCCAGTGTTTCCCGTAATGGCCTTGGGAGGGCTGCTTATGAAAACAGAATGATCAACAGCAGCAGCTTTGTTTTAAATACAATTTACAGAACATAAAAAAGTCTGAAATTTGCATTAATTGTATCTTATACTGTACAGTGAATCTCATATCTGAAGATACATTTAAGATATCTTGAACTGGAGTCTCCATACCTAAATGTTATTTCAGAATATAATTAGAGATATCTTAAATAAGTATTTTGCCTTGTCAAACTATATTAAAAGATGTCTATTTATTTGTTTCATTCATTCATAAGAACAAAACAATATGTTCAGCATTAAAAAAC